GAAGGGTGCAACAATGAATGAATGGAATCCCAAAATCTTTGTAGATGTTCATTGAAATGAAAAATAAACAACCTAAATTAAAAAAAAAGAAAAGTTAACTACAAATAGTACTGCTAGTCCTTCATCTCTAAAATGGGACAGTTCTATCTAGAATTCTCAAGGGAAGGTATATCATAATCTCTGGGGATGCTTTTTTTTCCTTCAAAGTATAGAGGGTGAAGCCAAGCCGTTCCTTGGCGGCAAGGATGTTGGAGCTCTATCTGACATACTTTGGGCATGTTGCAAGGAGGGACCAGTCCTTGGAAAGAAACAGCTGCTACTTCTTTTGGACTAGGCAAATGCTCTTTTAAAAACATGAGCCATTAGCTTACCTTGTAGCCAAAGAGAAAGAGTCCCACGAAAAGGCTGTAGAGGTCGGCTGTCAAGATGCCGAGGTTGACAGAAGTGGCACTGGTGGCTTTAATCACCCACGGCATGAAGCTGTACAGGCAAAACATACAGAGGGCAAAGGCCACAAAGAGCAGGGCTGTGGGGGAAACAGAATACCCAGCATTACAGGGAGAAAAGAAAAGGCCTTGAAGGGGCCTAAGGTTTGACTGCCATACAAAACCTCCTGACCTTTTAACAAACTGTCAATGTAGGTAGGCCCTTGCTAACAGTAAACACTACAGATGAAAGGCAAAATGCCAATTGGAAAAAACAGCAAAGTATGTGTGGAAGGGGGTGATGAGGAGAAAATGGCTGTTGTAGAGCCAGTTCTGAGCCACGGCTACCATGAGGCACATGGAACCATGCTCCATGAGCTTTTCAAGGATTGATTTTTTTTAAAGCATATATCATGTAAGAGTGATCTAGAGATTCTAGAGGGCATTATGCTGAGTGAACTAATTCAATCTCATAAGGACAAATACTGCGTAAGGCCACTATTACAAAGATAGAAGGATAGCTAAGATGTGAATAAATGTTCAAAAGGAGAAGGGGGTTCATCAAAGAAGACATTCAGATGGCTAACAAGCACATGAAGAAATGTTCAAAATCCCTAGCTCTAAGAGAGATGGAAATTAAAACAACTATGAGATATCATCTCACCCCAGTAAGACTAGCAAAATTTAACAGAACAGCAAGCAACAAATGCTGGCAAGGCTGTGGAGAAACTGGAACCTTTATTCACTGTTGGTGGCAGTGTAAAATGGTGCAACCACTGTGGAAGGTGGTATGGCGCTTTCTCAAAAAGTTGCAAATAGAGATACCATTTGACCCAGCAATTCCACTACTGGGAATATACCCCAAAGAGACCATAACTGACATCCAAGCAGATATATGCATACCCATGTTTATTGCAGCTTTTTTCACAAAATCAAGGAGTTGGAAACAACCTAAGTGCCCATCAACAAACGAATGGATAGAGAAGCTGTAGTATATCCACACAATGGAATACTATGCTGCATTGAAAAACAAAGGAATTCATGCAATATTATTCAAAATGGGTGACCCTGGGGGACATTATGCGGAGTAAAATATCTCAGTCACAAAAGGACAAATACTGTATGGTACCACTGTCGTAGAAAGTGACTGACATCAGGTTTGGGGTAAGACTGAGAAAAACTGGATAAATTGTGTATACTGAATTGAAACAGATGAGGGAGAGAACAGTTTAAAAGTGATATATGAAAGTATATTATGATTATTACAGGAATCCAGAATTCAGGTTGCATAGTGGAGTGCATTTGGGGTTGGGGTTGGGAGGATTGTATATCAACGAAAAAGTTTATCTTTTGCTTTTCAAGGAGAGAAGCGAACTGGGGGAAAGGGGGTAAAGAAAAGAGTACAACAATAAATGAATGGAAATCCAAAATCTCTGTAAATATTCATTAAAATTAATAATTTTTTTTAAAATCAGGGGATAAAAAAAGGAGAAAGGGGCAGGAAAAGGGAAAAGGTCACTAGGATAGCAAAGTTTCTCTAAGGTGAACATTAGTTGAAACAAGCCACCAGTGTTTTGGTTAGCTCATAAACCCACATACTCCAGCGCAGATGAAGGACCCTGAAAATCCAAGGGTGATGGATAGTCAAGGCTATAAAATCGTGTTCATTCTGTGATCACTGGCTCTTATCAGTCCTGCCATGCACCGTCCCAGGGCAGAGTGGTACCAATGACAAAAGGTCAATTAAGGAAGAATCACTGCCACATGTCAAGAAGAAACTCTATTTTTTAAAAAAGATTGATTTGCACACAGCAATCTGTATGCATTGTGTTTCATTCACGTATACTGCGTTTTATATAATCTTTCATTTACATTGTTTCCTACAATCATTCATATATTCTCTTTTAAATAAGTACTGTTGATCTATGCCTATGACTACCCCATCTTTATATGTCCCCAATGAATCTTTCCTATTCCTTCACCACCTCCATCAGCCCAATACAATTTGCTAGCCTAGTGAATTCCACCCTTTCCCTTTTTCCGCCCCCTTCTCCTTTTAAACATTTATACACATCTTACTCAGTTATCCTTCTACTTTTACGATAATGGCTTTACGTGGTATTTGTCCTTATGAGACTGAGTTAGCTCAATCAGCATAGTGCTCTGAGATTCTCTAATGTTATATGATATTTTACAAAATCATGTTCCTTGGTGTTGCATAGTGTTCCATTGTGTGAATGTACCACAATTTCTCTAGCTTCCACTGTTTGTTTGGCTGGACATTATTTGGAAAATTGAATTCAGAATAAAGTCTGTTTAGGGCACAAAAAGGCAAAGTTTGTTGATTTCATTTCCTTTTGTTCATCTTATTAGAAATTCTAATACAGCACAACCCTCTGAAGGACTAGACTCTTTAGGACAACACCAGACATATGAGCATTGACTACACCAACACAATTTCTGCTTTATAATCACTTCTCAACCTAATTCCTACACCACTGCTCTAAACATACGTTCACACACGCATTAGCGTGCACACACACACACACACACCTGTCAATGTGAATTATTCAATTCCATTAAATAATCCAAGTGTTGCATAGTCTTCAGTGATATTTTATGTACTACAGAACTTTATTCATTCCATATTAAATAAAGTTCAACTCTTTCCTGTCACGTCAATGTTTTCTTCTGCTTTATTTATTTCTGCAGATGCCTAAGAGTCTCAGGTGAGAGGAGTGACAGAGGTTGTGGGTGATAACACTCTATCAGATTAAGGCTTCATAAATTACAGCAAGCAGACAACAGCCTTCATAAAATGTTGAGAATCCAAGCTACAGATCAAATTGAAGACTGAGTGTGACCAAAGGTCAGTCTTATTCAGAATTCCTAGTATTCCCAGACACATTAATGTATGTCTCAAGCTATTCCTAAAGGTGAAGATTAAGAATTAACTTTTCCAAGTTCATCCATCAAACCTCAAGAAAAACTCAATCCCTTGCACTACTGCTCTGTGTGAATGAATTATACTATGATTTTTAAAAGGTGGTTATATATTATAACTTATTTATTTTTTAATCATATTTCATTGTGCTTTAGATAAAATCTTCTTGTGTTTTTGGCAGTTAATAGAATAGTTACTAAAAAAAATTAAGCTATTTACATACCAATTTTCCAGTCCCAATGAATGTTGGCAATATCTTTATATTCCACAATCAGTCTAGGATTAAATAAGAGGTCACAGAGAATTCCCCATTAAAACATGTCATATTCTCTTATCCACTCTTTGTCAGTATCTTTGTTACAGCAGGAAAAATATAACATATCTTTTCTTTGAGTAAGCTCATGATTTAATATGTTAATATTTTCTGGAAGTAAGCAAAAAAAGAAAATCTTTATTGGTAACGTCTTCCCCCATCATGAAAAGGAACCCTATATGTCATTCATGTGTAAGAAAACGACTCTGCCATAAGCCTGTCATAGATATTTAGCAAGTTGTCAATCTTGCACATGAATTAGTGACAGCAAAATAACTTTTCATAGCTAGAAAGTAATCATTCATGTCATACTGGCCCATTTCATTTTAAAAGAAAATGTCAGAATCTTACAGCTGTACACCGCTGATAATTGTTCCAAAGAAGCCCACCATTCCTAAAAACTCCGCTCTGCTCAGCTTCTTCACAATATATTCTTCACACACATTAGAAACGGCGTAAAGGGAAGCACCGAGAAGAACTAAGATGTCGCCAATCAGCACATCACTACCTGCAGGAAGACGGGACACAAAAAAGGAAAAACTGTCCATGAGTGGACTTTCAGAGTCAGCCTCTTGGCTCATCGTGATTTAAATAACATTTTCTGGAAAAAATTCAACTCTCTGACTCTTCTCACTTTCTGGTCTAATTCTGCTGGGAGTTTTCAAATTTTGACCTCCAGACACTTAAAGACAGCAAGATGATACACTGAAAAGACCTTAGTAAATGACTCAATGAATTGACAAATTAATGGATGGTTAAGAGGGTCAGGGCAGTTTGAAAACTGCAGGGTAGAAAACTCTTTTCAAGGAAATTTTCTCTTTTAATCAAAGGAGACACTGAAATCACTTGTAGATTGGGTCAATTCATAGATTTTATTTTGGGTTTCCTACTGCCAATTGTCTGAGATTTAACACAAAAAAGCAGCAAACAAGAAGACCTCCCATGAGACGTGCTGACATAGAGACTGTATCTGAGACCTTAAGGAAGGATGGCACAGGATAGGGCAGGGCTCAGATCTATTATTCATAGAGTCACTACAACCACTCATCCATAGAGCAACTTAGAATGTCATTCACTGAACAGTTTCTTTTTTGATGAAAAAATCTAGAAGCTTCAGTAGGTTTCCTATTAACTAACCCAAATATTTTGACCAGAAGATTATTTCAAATATGTAAAAAAAGCTTTTCTCTTCATTATGCTGAGTGAACTAACTCAGTCCCACAAGGGCAAATAGTGTATAAAATCATTGTTGTAGAATGAGTACAAGGACCCAAGGTGTGGAGGAGGGTGGAAATAGAGGGGTGAGGATAGGGGGTTGTTAATCATAGGGTTGTACAATTTGATGGGTGGGTGGGGTGAAGAAAATGGAAAGAGTCTTTTGTGGAAAACAATGTATTCAAACTTTGTAAATAAATCAGAATAAAATTTAAAATGAAAGCTTTTCTCTGAATGACAAAACAAAAATTTTTAATGTGACAAAAAGAAGTAGGCCCATGGGCAGGGGGAGGCTGTTCTGTAAAGTGATTACAAAATACCAAAATCAAATAAATATGAAAATAAATTTTAAAGTGTATTTAACCAGTGTTTTCTGTTTTTACTGAATCTCTGCAAAAGAGAAGTGAGAATGTAAACCAAAAACTGCTTTCTGTGATTGAGGCAGAGACAAGTACAACCTTACCTGAATTGTCTTCCCTCCCTGCTAGTATGTCTGCACCAACCATGGTTCCTACACCCAACAGACAGACGGCCACGGCGATGAAGTGGATCACTCTGTATCTTGCATAAAGAATAAACCACGACAGAGCCATCAACACTGGAATCCCAAAGCAATCCAAGAGCTGTATAAACAGAACAAAATTGTAAAGCATCTCTGATCAGTTTAAAACAAGAATATTGGTGGGTGCAGGTGAGTTGATTCTGATTCAAAGAGAACTCTTATGGCAGAGTAGAACTGCACCTCAGGAGTTCTGAGGTTGTAAACTTCACAGGAGTGGACTGCCATGTCTTTCTCTCACAGAGCCAAGAGGTGAGTCTGAACCACCAATTTTTGTGTTATCGATCAACTACTCAACCATTTGTTCAGCAGTGCCATTTTAACTAAGCAAAATTAAGCAGAGCATTTTAACTAAGCAAAATTAAGCATCAGTATTATTATTGCCAGTTCAAATTGTTTGACCGGTATTATTTTAATTCTCACAACAGCACTATGAGACTGGAGGATAAATCAAGGCATAGAGAGGTTAAGGAAACTATCCAAAAAAATCACATAACTGAAAGTGAAAGACCAGGTGTTGAACTCAGGAACTCTGCCTGTGCAATTCATCTCTACCTGTATTTATTCCAAAGTCAAGAAAACAAACTCACCTTTCTGTGTACATCCATTCACTCAGTCAATAATTTATTAAGCACCTTAAAGGTGTGATATATTGTGATAGAAGCTAGAAGGACAATCAGTGAACAACAATGAGACAAGCTCTGCCCTCAGGATGGCTAGAGGTAGGCTTGACAAACACAGAATAAATGAATACACAGTGAGGTATTTAAGCACAATTAGGCAAAGAACTTCGACCAGCAGCAGGATCATGAGGGCAACCAAGTCTAACCTCCACTAATGCCACAAAGGGGAACTTTCCCCATTAACAATATCACTGTAAAAAATGATCCCTATAAGGTCAGACATGGCCTCCTACTGTACTGTATCTACTCCTAACTACTGGGTCCAAAATGTGTTGCAAATGATCACACACTTTACAAGACGTCTTTTTACTCACAGTTGTGGAGTTTATTAGAGAAGCACGTGATTAAAGAGGGTATCACACAGAGAAAGTCTAGGTTCAGTAAACAGCAGTTCCAAGCCAGCTTTTCCCTCAATTTTTCATCAAGTAAGACCTCTGGCTCTGGCTCTGTCTCAAAGTCTCTGGCCCTGGATCCATTTAGCTCCATCAGTCTATGTCTTGCCACAGTCTGGCTACAGTCTGATTAACTCTCTCTCTTACGCTGGTCTCACACCTGTTGATGATGTTGAAGATGCTGAGCAATGATGAGCCATGCACCTTCAGTTTAGGCAGCTGGAGACCATGCCCGGGTTAAGGGGAACAAAGGGAGAGGGAAAGGAGAGTGAGTGGAAAGCTCTAAGGCAATGAACAGGAAACAATCTCAAATATACTAACATCAATGAACTACAACATAGTTACAGGTCATTACTAGGGAATTTAACCAAAACTAACCCCTGCCATGTGAGAAAAATACTTTGTTTTGTCAAGTCCTTTGTCCATTTTGTGATTGGTTTATTTGTATTTTTGTGGTTAACTTGCAAAAGTTTTGCATATATTTCACTTATTAGATTCTTGTAGAACACATGGTTTTTTATAGCAGTATCCCAGGAAGTAGTCTGTCTATTCACTGTTTTGGTAAAACTTTTTGATGGCCAAATTCTTTTAAAAGAAATGCTATATATATATTTTTTTTTAATGTTTGTTCTTATGTATCAAAGAGTTGGAACTGACCCGTAGCTAACCTTCCCACAGGTTTTCAGAGTCAGTTAATCACACAGGAGATTGTCCATTCTTCTCCGACAGAGCAGGTGGTGGCCTTGAACCACGTGTCCTGAGGATTGCAGTGCAGCTTTTTGTTACTAGGCCACCAGAGCACCCTTTTTTTAAAAATGAACTTTGCAAAATATTATCTTATTTTTATTATTCATTATTTATTTTTGTTCTGCTCTCTCTCAATTCCAAGGTTGATTCTATGTGTAAACTGTTTCTTGGGGTTTTTTATATTAATGTTCTTAAACAATATTGGTCCTTTTGTAACTGACTTATTTTACTTGGCATAATTTATTTTCATTTTATTCATGCTATAGAGTATTTCATTAATTCTGAGCCTTTTAGAATTAATTTTTTTTTAAATGAACCCACCAGTTTCTTTAGCCTTTTATTCAATAATGGGCATCTGGGTTGTTTCCAACTATGCTATTATAAACAGATATATTGGTTTGCGTTACAGCTATTACTTCTGTAGGATATAAAACTAGTAGTGAGATGACTGGATCACCAATGATAAAAGCACACAATAGATGAAGAAAAGACTGAAGTTGTCAATGATGTCATCTTACTGGGGTCTACAACAAATACTCGTGATAACCAGAAGTCAAGAAATCAAGACACACTGACCTGGGAAAGTCTACTCTCAAGAATCTTTCCAAAGTGCTCAAGAGCAGCAGTGCCAGTTTAGAGACTAAGTTGTGCCTAATCCAAGCCATGGTTTTTTTCCCTTTGCTTCCTGTTGATCTGAAAGTTGGACGATGGATAAGAATGACAGAACTGATGCCTTTAAAATGTGGTGTTGAAGAAGGGCACTGACTAGCCCAGGGATGGCCAAAAGTACAAGCAATCTTGGAGGAAATGTAACCAGTGTGCTCCTTAGAGGTAGGGATAGTAAAACTTTGTCTCACATACTTCAGGCATGTTGTCAGAAGGGTCCAAACCTTAGAAAAAGACATCATACTGGGAAAGGTGAAGAGTCAGAAAAAGAGAGAACCCTCAATGAGATGGACTGACACAGAGACTGTAACATGGGCACAAGTACAGGAAGAGGGTGCAGGATAGGACAAACTTCTGTTGTTCATAGATGTGTGTTCATAAAATCACTAAGAGTCATCGTCAACTCAACAACACCTTTTCTGTGTGCACTAAACATCATTAACTAGGTAACTTCTGCTTTAATGTTTATAAATCTTTTTTTTAATCTCTTATAATGCGTTAATGGAGCACTGGTGGCTTAGTGGCAAGAAGCTGCACTGCCAAACCAAAGGCATGCAGTTTGAATCCACCAGCTGCTCCATGGGAGATGGATAGGCAATCTTCCCCCTACACACACCCCCATCCCCCAGTGCAATACTACCTCTGAAAACCCACTGGAGGGTCAGTAATGAGTTGGTTCTGACCATATGGTACATGACAACATAATGTATTATAGTATTTCTTTTGTCAGCTAGTTAGTTTATGCTGGTAACCAAAGGATTTCCTGAGTACAATACTTAATTATCACAATGTTACATAAAAGAGTATTTCATGAGATGTGCCCTGGTAATAACAGGATTTAATGTCTATCCACATTGGGAATTACTAAGTTTTCATCAATCCTTACTTTTTCCAGGTGAAGTATGTCATTTCATACCAATTGTTCTCCAGACTATATCATTTGAAGAGCAAATGAGACACTACCTTTTTTCTGTTTTATACAAGCAATCCTCTGCTTATGAACAAGACTACTCCTACCTGTCCTTTAATATTATGTAAATCTGCTCTCACAATGAAATGATTGAACAACAAATTCTTCATCAGACTCACCTTCACTTGCTGCAGATGCAGTGCTTATAAAAAAGACTAAATGAGAGCTGTATGCATCTGTTCCAACTTACCTACAAACCCTGAAAGACACAGAAACAGATCTCATTCCTACCCTGAGGACTGCCTGTACAGCGAGAGAAGCGATGCATTAAAAAATTACACGTTCATTAAACTGTGTCTAAACCTGGCATTGGAGTCTATCTAATTTTCACCTCCATTTAAAAATACTTTGATAATTTGGTGAGTCAGTGCTATGATAGTTTGCTGACATTAAGAGCTGAAATCTGTACTCCTCAACTCCATAAAGTTAAAAAAGCACTAGGAACATTTTCCTTTCAACCTAACAAGACAAAACCTTCATCTTTAGCATTGTGTTTAACCTTTGGCTACCACTTTTACACAAGACATCTAATAAGTTACTTCCAATGGTTCCTTTGTCTTAAATATGTAACATACAAATCTCCTGTTTTTGTTGCACAACGATACATCCCTTTTTATATGCCACTTTTAAGAAATACAACCAGAATGCATATCAGCATCACAGGATCAACTGCCAACAAAAATATTTATATTTCTTTTGGGAGGGACTATTCTAATCACTGTAGCACTAGCAATTTGAGAACTGATTAATTTATATACATTGTCACTAATTCTAGGAAACATTACTCATTAGAACATATGGTCCATTTGGAAAACAAACAGAATCCACCTGTATTTACAGTTTACTTCAAGGGAACAGGTTGTTAGTAAATTTAGGGTACATGTGACTGGGTAGTTCTAGTCCATAGAGAGATATAGTGTAAACCGAATGTCTAAAAGAACATTTCAAAATCTATCCTGAAGTACATCATTATAAGTGATGGGATAATATGCATATGCATACAAAGAAGATTTGGTATTCAAATTTAAACACTAGTCACTAAAGTCAAGGTTGGAGATATGGAGGATTTATACCAACTTCTGCAGTCTGAAATTGGTTAAGCATGCAGTCAAGGTGCACTGATAATTTCTAGAGATTACAATACGAAAACTGGAAACAAAAATTATCAGTAGTTGGAAAACATACAACAAAATTTTGTACGAACAACTTACTCGTCGCAAATACTTTTTTATAAAAAAAGGCAACCATACACATAGAACTTTCCAGATGGAATATACAGGAATAAAATCTGCTACATCTGGAGAAAGAGAAGGTAGAAAACCTCAATATTATCAGTCAGAACAAGGATGGGGCTAAATGAGCAACAGATCGTCAACTGTTCATATGCTATTACAAATTAAAGCTGGAAAAACTTAAAGCAAGTCCACAAGAGACATGACTTTGAATAGATTCCACCTGAATTTTGACACCATCTCAAGAACAGCTTTGATACTGTTCTTGAGCATCAAGACTGGACACTAATGACTGAAGATCAGAGGAGCTATGAAGAAAACAAAATGTCATTAAAATCACAAAAATGAAAGAAAAGAACAAAATGGGTGTCAAA